AAAAAAAAAAAAAAAAAAAAGTGAGATCCCACATCGGTTGGAGAAGGGAACGAAACATTTCTTATAAGGGTGTGGAAACCTCTCATTAACAAACATGCTTTAAAATTGTAAAGCTGAGGGTGATACGTAACAGACCAAAATGGACAATATGTATAGCGGTGGGTTTTGGCTGTCATTAATGGTATCAAAGCTAGACACCGGACAGTGTGCCAGTAAGAATGTTGTGTCTCCACGCATTTCTTATAAGAGTGTGGAAGCCTTTTCCCAGTAGACGTATTTTAAAAACCGTGAGGCTAACAACGATACATAATAAGTCAAAACAGACAATATCATAGTATTAGGAGCTAAGATTATAACACCCTAAGATTATGAGAATGATTGAGTAGGAAAAAGAAAAAGTGAGATCCCACATCGGTTGGAGAAGGGAACGAAACATTCTTTATAAGGGCGTGGAAATCTCTCATTAACAGACACACTTTAAAACGGTAAAGCTGAAGGTGATACGTAACAGACCAAAATAGAGAATATCTATAGCGGTGGGTTTTGGCTGTCATTAATAGAATCAAAACTAGACACAGGGCAGTGTGCCAGTAAGAACGTTGGGATCCCCAAACATTTCTTATAAGAGTGTGGAAACCCTAACGACGATACGTAACAAGTCAAAGCGGACAATATCATAGTAAGGTAGTAGCTTATTACGAGAATGATTGAGTAGTGGTTAGTGATGATGCACTTTAAGTACTTAAATGGGTTTCTTGAGAAGTGATTCCATTGATTTTGACAAGGCTCCACTTGAGAGAGAGGCGACCAGCAACCCATTGATTTGCATCTTACTTCCCACTTTCCATTTTTAAAAGCATATATTGTAAAGTTGAAGGTGGAATCATAGTAGGCTAAGAATATATATGCCAAAATTGGAACTTGCAAGCTATGTGATGCCACATTGAGGAGGCCTAAATAGCCTACCAACTTGCATACACATTTCTTTTGTTTGAAGTAATGAATTTCCCCTCCTTTTTCTAATAAACCATGTTATTGGAGGGAGACACAATGTTCATAAAGCAAGAGATTAGTACGGAGTGTATACGATTGGGTTGAGCATGGGCGTGAGGCGAGGAGCGTATGGCAACGTGGGTGAGGGTGGGGGCGTATGCGAGGAGTATCTGCTGATATTGAATGTTGCAAGGGGTATCTACTAAGTGCTACGAGAAGTGTTTGATGGTTTGGGTTGACTAGGACTTTTGTCAAGTGAACCCAAAACCTGAATTGAACTAGTTTGGTTCTAAAAAATTAATCCAACCTAACCCTTGGTTGATTCGATTTTTCGAGTTTTCAAATTCGATGTACATCCCTATAAAAAAAGAGTTACGATATAATGTATACATATTTTGTATATTAAATGGAGCCTTATTTAGCTAAGGATGAAAACTAGGGGTGTACATGGTCTGGGTTGGGTTGGGTTGAGGATTTTTCTGACCTAACCCAAAAGTTCAAGTTGGTTAGATTGGTAACCCAACCCAACCAAAAAAATTTCATAATCCAACTCCAACCCTCCATTTTCGAGTTGGGTTCAGGCTATTAAAAAAAATTATTTTTTACAATAGTTTTATTTTTTCACAATTTATAATTTTTCAGATACAAATAAAATAAAAGATAATTAAAAGTTCATCATCAAACACAAATCAATCTATAATTATTCACAAAAAAAAATGAAAAGATAATTAAAAGTTTATCAATAAACACAAATCAATCTATAATTATTCAAAAAAAAACAAAAATAAAAACAAATTTAATAAAAAACAACGAAGAAAAATTAACAAATTTCAAAAAATTGTAACATATTAGAAACGGAGTGGAAGTCAGGTGGCCCAAAAATGAAGCCCAAGCTAATATGGAAACTCGGGTCCAACCCAAAGTAGAAGTCAGGTGGCCCAAAACTGAAGCCCAAGCTAATATGGAAACTCAGGTCCAACGCAAAGTAGAAGTAAGGTGGCCCAAACATTCCGTATTTATTAGCCCAAGCCCAAGCCCAAGCTAATATATTATATAATAAGAGAAATAAAATGGCAATAGCGAAGAATGTTTCTTACATGAGAAACCATAATTTTGGTAAAATCAGTTTCTAAGCCGACATTTGAGGATAACCTTAATCTCCCCAAACTTCGCTCTTTATATAACTCACGATTCCCTTCTCTGTCTCTCAATCTCCCAGTCACCAAAATCCTGGAACACTGACCTTTTTCATATTATCACAATGGCTGATGATGCTAAAGACAAAGTTGACCGAGACCGAATTTTCAAGCGCTTCGACGCCAATGGCGACGGTAGGATCTCTGCGTCGGAGCTCGGTGAATCCTTGAAGACGCTTGGCTCCGTTACCCCTGACGAAGTGCAGCGGATGATGGCAGAGATCGACACCGACGGCGACGGGTACATTTCATACGAAGAGTTCACAGATTTCGCCTGTGCCAACCGTGGTTTAATCAGAGATGTTGCAAAGATATTCTAAAGTGTTTGTATACCGTTTATTGTTCTTTGTTGTTGTTTTCTTTGTTCTGTTTTTTGTTTTACATTTAAATGTAGCTTGTCGTGTTTGATTTGATGTCTGCATGAAAAAACAAATCAAATGGGCTCCATTTTCTTAACATTTTTCATTATGGAAAACGTTGATTTGGTTGTTAAGCTGCAACTTCCATGATTGTGTCTCAACCAACCACTTCCAAACAGAACATCTGTACAAAAATGATCATATTTACAAAATCATCAATGATTTGATTCAACTAAAATGAGGGAAAATAATCTGACTTTTCAACGGCAGAAAAGGTAATCGTCTTCTTCGAATTCGGGGAGTCCCGACATGGCCAACGCTAAATGACTCGTCATTTCGCTGTTCGTGTTTTGAAACTGCGAATAACAATCAGTGACACATCCATGGCTCAAGAAACCAGACCTCTTTGATCTGTTGGGCAGAGGCTGTTCTTCACCTTTCAATATTGCAATGATCTCTAAGATCCCGGGCCTGCGAGATTCTTCACCGGTAATGCAAGCAGCGGCAGCTTCGATCATTTGGACTATTTGATTCGAATTCTTCGTCGTACACGTCACTTGCGGATCAAGCAGCTCGGTAATCGCCCCTTTCCCTTTCTGCAAGAGTGGCTTTGCCTGTAGGAACACATCAAACTTGTTATACTTGACAGACTACTTTCTTCTGTCATATACTCGAGACTGCACCAACGAATGCAACACGTGAGGCTTACGGCCATACGTTACGGGCCAAAGTGGACAATATCGGCAAGTGGTGGGTTTGGGGTGTTTCATTCTAAAGCTTTGCAGAATCATTCATACAACAATAACAATAGTAAACAAAAGTGATATAATGACCTACCCATAAAACCAAATTCTCCTCTCCACGAGTTCTTTCTTCGATCGGCTTCCTGCCCGTTATGAGTTCCAATAACACGACTCCTAGAGCGTAGACATCTGTTTTATCTGATACCTTCCCGTGCTGGAAATATTCCGGAGCTAGGTAACTACAAATAAGTTGATAAATCGTAAATCGGAATGGAACAGAATGAGTTCACTAAAATGGCTTAAGAATGAGTTCATACCCAAATGTTCCTTTGACAGTTTTGCAAAGGAAAGGCACAGATGGAGCAGCAGTCCATGTCGCTAACCCAAAATCACATAACTGCAAGCAACCATTACCAGGAAACAGTTGATGAATAAGAACAATGAAAGGCTAACCTCAAATTATCTTACACCGATGACTTGGTTGGTTTCTCTCCCGGCTTCCACTCAAGGTTTTAAAACGCGTATGCTAGGGATAGGTTTTCACACCCTCAAGAAATGCTTCGTTCTCCTCTCCAACCAATACAGGATCTCACAATCCACCCCTAGACCCAACGTCACCACCCCTAGACCATCGCTAACTGACACAAGGGAATCCTTCGTTCTCCTCTCCAACCAATGTGGGATCTCACAATCCACCCCTTTGGAGACCAGCGTCATCGCTGACACATCGCCCGGTGTCTATCTGGCTCTAATACCATTTGTAACCGTCCATGCTCACCACTAGTATATATTGTCCTCTTTTGGGCTTCCCCATTTTAAAACGCGTCTACTAGGGATAGGTTTCCACACTCTTATAAAGAGCTTCCCCGTTTTAAAATGCTTCTACTAGGGATAGGTTTCCACACTCTTATAGGAATGTTTCGTTCTCCTCGAGGGATAGGTTTCCACACTCTTATAAAGAATGCTTCGTTCTCCTCTCAATGTGGGATCTCACAATCCACCCCTTTGTGGGATCTCACAATCCACCCCTTGGGGACCCAGCCCTCGGCTTACCACGACCCAGTATTTGGCTCTGATACCACCCAACCCTCGCTGGCTTACCACCACCCAGTATTTGGCTCTGATACTATTTGTAACAACTCAAGTTCACTGGCTCTGATACCATTTGTAACAACTCAAGTTCACCGCTAGCATATATGGGCTTTCCCTTCTGGGCTTCCCCTCAAGGTTTTAAAACGCGTTTACAAGGGATAGGTTTTCACACCCTAAGCATTATAAAGAATGCTTCGTTGTCCTCTTCACCCACCAATGTAAGATTATTGTCCTCTTCACCCACCAATGTAAGATTACACACTATCTCTCTCTTTTGTACACATCAAACAACCGAAGGAATATCCACAAAAACGAACATATTCTTTTACCTTTGACACTTTCTTGGACGAAAGAAGGATATTTGAAGGCTTAATATCTCTATGAACAACACATCTTTCAGTTCCATTGTGAAGATACGCCACAGCCTCAGCAATTCCAAGAGCAATCTTAAACCTCACCGACCAGGAAAGAGACAAGGAACCCTTTATTCCCTTCTTCTCTGCAATTGTTACAACGTTAGAATCTCAAAAACCCAACCAAAGACCAACTAAATCAAGAACCAAAGAACAAGGAATCATACCATGCAAATGTCTTTCTAAACTTCCACCAGAAACATACTTATAAACCAAAAACAAGCCCTCTTCTGGATCAATACAAAACCCCACAAGAGGAACAATATTTGGGTTATGAAGAGAGCTAGCAATCATCAATTCTCTGCAGAACGCCTTCGCAGACTCTTTATCTTCCTTGTCCAAACGTTTGATAGCCACAGCTGTTCTTAAAAACCCAACTCTTCCCCTGAATACACAACTTAAGGCCCCTCTTCCCAGAACTCTGCCTACCAAATTTGGGAAAAAATTGAAAAAGGGTTCAAGATTACATATCAAAAATTTGTTTAAAAAACAAGAAAAAGGGTGTTTGACTTCGAGAGTACCTTTTGAGAAATTACGAGTAGCAGAAAGAATTTCGCGATATCTGAATCGAATCAAAGTATGAGCCACAGGGGAAATGCTCTTTTCCAATGATTCAATCCTCCGCCATTTCAATTCTTTGGTGAGAGCATCAGCCATCATTCCATTTTCCAAATTCACCATCAAAACAGTGGCCGCAGTGGTTGAAGAGCCGATATTCATGGTTTCAAGCTCAACTTGAGAGCAAAAACTAAACCGAAAAGACGAGTGAACCGATTGTGGATCAGTATTTGAGGACTCCCCACCACAAGGACCAGACTCCGCAAGCAACCAAGCTTTATTGTGCTCGAGATTCTTGATTTTCCCATCGACATTGGTGTGGTGATCATCATCTTGAATGCCCTGATTCTTGCGGCGAAGACGAGCAGGAGGAGTAATACACGCTAACCCAAGTTCCCAAATCATTTTTCTCAAAAGGGTCTTAATCTTGAGCTCGTTATAGTGGGAATGTTGATGCTCTAACTCAAGGTGGGGCACCCTCGGGTTAGAACAAGTACCAATGGAGAAACCCATTTGGAAGCAGATCTCGAGGGAAAGAACAGAGATCTAGAAACCCTCAAAGAAACAAAAGCAGAGATACCCACAAAGAAAAGGGAAAAAAGTGGGAAGAATTGGGTTTGCTTCAATGGTGGGGGGAGAATATGCAGTAAGCAGAATAATGGAATTTAAGTACAGAAATGGAAGAACAGAGTGGTGGGAGGTGGGGGGTGGGGATGAAAAGCCATGGCTAAGGTCCCCATGGAAATTGCTTTGGCAGACATGGGTGGAATGGGTAGCTCGCTTGCTCTACCTTTCAAAATGGAATTTTATCTTTAAATAATAAACAAAAAGAGAGAGCTTCGGGTGTTGGCCCCCATGGACCTCTGCGTGTGCGTGCGTGCGTGCGAGGGAGAGAGTGATTGAAACGGACATGATTTCAGTAATCAAACTTTAATTAATTTAACACCATTAAAAATGACCAATTAAAACACAAAGCTTGTCGGAACCCCAAACAAATAAGGGTTAATTTCGTCATTTTACTAAGTTAATCACATATTATTTCTCCAATAAATAAGATAGATATTCAGTTTATTTTAAAATAATAATAAATGTATGTATATATATATATATATTTTTTACAATTAGTAAATATGATTCACTTTTTACTTTTTTACCCATTATGAACCAGAGAGAGAGAGATTCCAAAATTACTGCAAAAGGAGGAGTTTTTACCTTTTGCAGAACACTTTTGATTTTTATGAACAAAATAATAGTGAATATTCGAATGAGAAATAAATTTTAATTATATTCTTTTTTTAAAAAAGTAAATATTATTATTATTATTATTATTATTATTATATAACAGAAAAACTAAAACTATACATGTAGTTTGGTGACCACCCCATATTTTTCCAACCGCCAACAACCTTGTCTTTTTTGGTGTCTAGCTTATTAATATAATTAACTTTTTTTATTAATTATTGTTTTTAACCTTCTAATAAATTTTAAATCTTTTTTTTTTTTTACAGTGTTCGTATGATCTGAGAGTCCAAAAAACTCGTACTATCTAATCCAAATTATAAAAGTTAAGTTGGACTAGATTTTTGCAGGTTGACGTTTTTTTGGTTCGGTAAACATGACCAACCCATTATTGTCTTACTTTTAAGATTATTAAGAAAATTAAGGATATTTAATGTTTGTAATCGATGTTAGTGATGCAATTATGACTTATAAATATTTGATATTTGAGTTTTATGAGATTTTAGTTATTAATGTAATTATGTACGGTGGATAACTATAATTTTTTAAAAATAATTTAAAAAGACAACTCGAAAACCAACCAACATTATCGAAAATAGAGGGTTGGGTTTGGTTGGATTGTAAACTCTATTCGAGTTACTTGAGTCACAAACCCAATCAACCTAATATTTCGGGTTGGTGGTAAAGATTTCTCCAACCCAATTCATGCACACCACTCTTTATTTATGTATAATTTAAATATCTATTTATGTCTTCTAAGCTTGAAATTTTTTTTACGAGTTTCCATAGATTTGATGCATTGAATTCATTTAAATTGAATACAAAAAAATTCAATAATTTTGAATAAAACGTTACGATCAAGAACAAAAGACAAAATGTAGAGGCGAATATAAGAAATGAAAATTTAGCGTCGAATATAAATTTTGAATTAATGAATAATACGAGATTCTCATATTAATATTTTGTGACGGGTAACATCATGGTCTCCTTCTTGCCTCCTTCATGCTTTAGATTTCCGCTACAATTAATAATAACAACAAAAGTCTAATAATACTCTCTACCCTATTAATTTAGGCATCGTTATTACTCGAAAGTAATATTAGTACAAAATTTCTCAATTAATATTTTTTTTAATTAGATTTAGATATAATACTATTTGAACAGATTATATTACGTAAAGGGACGCTCGGGTTAGAAACCTAATTTATATTATATTGCAAACGATGCTAAAAAAAGAATGTGATTCTAGATAATAGAATTTTTCCGGGTTTGTGTATGGTTGAACTAAAAAATTAATTATTAAGACGTGAGTGATGATGTTAATGGGACGGATTTTAAAATTAGGATTTAAAAAAATGAAAAAAGAAATGTTGGGGGAAGATTGTTAGGAGGAAAATGGAGGGAAATGTGTGTATATGGTGGGGGCAGATGGCGGCAAATAATGGTCACCTAATGTGATAATGATGCATATTAAATGTTTAAAATTGATATCCCTAAGTTTGATTTTGATATTAATTAAACATTTTTAAAGCATATCGTGTGGAGCATATGGTCCAAAACGCGAACTCGTATTGACGGGAATCTCATTCCCATTTCTCCCCCTTTCGGTTTTTGTCGGTGGGACACGAATGTGGCTATGACCCTCGAACAATCTCGTCGTTCTGAAGTTCTTAACAACTTCGACGTTTATCTATTCAATATTTAGATCCGATTTTATACGAATTTGTGAGATCTTGTATTGATTGGAGATGGGAACAAAAATATATAATGGATTAAAGCGGACAATATTTATTAATGGTGGACTTGGGCTATTACAAATAGTATTAGAGTCAGTCATCAGGCGGTGAGCTAGCGAGGATGCTGGGCCCCAAGGGATGGATTGTGAGATCTCACATTGGTTGGAGGGGAGAACGAAACATTTTTTTTTTTTACAAAGGGGTAGAAATCTCACTCTAATAAACGTATTTTAAAATCGTTAGGCAGACGGCGATTTGTAATAAGTCAAAGTAGACAATATCTGTTAGCGGTGGACTTAGACTATCACAATTGGTATCAGTTTATCTCGGTTGTTTCTGAACAATTTTTGTATATCAAACGAACCAGTCTATAAGGTAATTTTAATATTTAAAATGTTGTTTTCTCTTTCCCGGTAACTTGCATATATCTTTCTTTAAAAGAATTTTTAAAAAATATTTCTTTTAAATCTAGATTATGTATATTATATAGAATGTGTATTAAATTAAAGTAAAAAATAATCATATGATAAAAGTTTATGAGCAGCTCATTATTTTTATATTATGGTTATTAAAGAATGGTTGAAGATAAGATTTTAATGTCACTTTTATTAAAGACATGATTCAAGCATGATCATCAACCTAGGCCCATTTACATAATTTCATATACTTTAAGCTTTATACTAATCTTTTTTTTTTTTTTTTTTAAATTAAATTTTTTTTTCGTGTTAGTTCAAAATTATTAAGTTAAATTTAAGTATCTCTTTGATTCCGTGTGTTGTCTCTTTTCATTTTGTTGGTGTTCATTGATATGATTTTGAAGAACTAGTTTCTTACCTACGGATTTGAAACAATCCAAAACGAATATGTTTCTAATCTTGCGACAAAATCCATGAATTATGAAAAATGTGAGACTTGTGAGGTTTCATCGGTTGGAGTTCAAAGAGAACAACATGTATTAGCGGTGGTAGGCTTGGACGGTTACAATGGTATTAGAGCCAGACATGGGGCGGTGTGCCAGCGAGAATATTGGGTCATCAAGGGGGTGGATTGTGAGATCCCTCGTTCGTTGGAAAGGGGACGAAGCATTCCTGATAAAGATGTGGAAACTTCTGGGAAGTCTGGAAGAGAAAGCCCAAAAGAAGACAATATCGACTAGCAATGAACTTGTAAGGCATTGGCGTGCATTGTGATATGCATATATTTCAGTTGCTAGCTCATTTGAATTATCACTTTTGACTGTTTGAGCTTCAGCTTCTCTCTCTTTGTGATGAAAGAATGGCATCAATGGCTTCCCTAACTTGTGAAATATCTGGAGCCTTGAACGGGCCAAAATTCGTCAGTGGCTAAGATCTGAAATTCAAAATTTTAACCATAACGATCAAGAGGGCAGAGGGACATGTTTGAGGATTGTTGGGATGGAATTCTATATTTGACTAATTAAAAAAATAATCATGAGTTTATAAGTAAGAAATATAAGTATGACCCATTTTGAGGAAACTAAAAAGTAAAGTCACGACAGCTTATGCTTAAAGTGGATGGACAATATCATTATCACTGTGGAGAGTCATGATTTCTAACATGGTATCTAAAGTCATGCTGTTAACTTAGGTATGCTAATTGAATCCTCAAATGTCGAACAAAGAAATTACTAGTCTCGAAGGTGTAGTTGTACTTTGTTCGATATCTCCAAAGAAGGAGTCGAGCCCTTTGTTCGATTAGGGGGAGGCTGTTCGAGGGCTCCATAGGCCTCAGGTTCGAGGGGGAAGATTGTTGGGAGGGAGTCCCACATTGACAGAGAATGATCATGGATTTGCAAGGAATGCATCTCCATTAGTATGAAATCTTTTGGGAAGTCCAAAGCGAAACCATGAGAGCTTATACTCAAAATAGACCATATCATACCATTGTGGAGGTCGGTAGTTTCTAATAGATTTGAGCGGGTTGGAGGTAGAGAATATTATCTCTATCTTTAGTCTCGTTTAACTAATGGGGAGAAATCTTTCTCTACTTCAATAGGTCCCTACAAGCCCGGATTCTCCAATTTAAACCGACATTTCTATTCGTAACTTATGTTCGTACCTTGACTTGTAGTTGAAGAAACTTGACATAACTAATGGCTTTCTCCAACATGGTTACCAAATCAACCTGCAAAATGAAGTTAAAAATGGCCCAAAATTCCATAAAAGTTCAAAGCTTTTCTTAATTTAGATAGCAATAAGCACCTTGGAGCCATTGGGAACCAATTCTTGGAGTATCTTCAGCCTCTCACTAATCCTCTCTCGTCGATTCTAAGTAACAAAACAAACAATAAAACAGACATTTTCTTAGCCAACGTTGTTCAAACAAAACAAGACCAAACCTTGGCTGCAATGCTCTGTGGATCCTTGGCTGTTGATGATTTACATTGCTTCTTACAAACACCCCCACTTCTATTTCCCTGTCAATCAATCAATCAATCAATCTAATACGAGTTTAGGGACAAAACTTATAATTTAGCAACGAAGACGAACGATCTAATACCGTCGTATGGGATCGCTTGTGATTTCCAGTTATGTCCTGAGCTGCTTCAGGGTCTTGAATGGCATCAGAAAGGCAGCCATAAAGAGGGCCATGATCTCCATGATGTTTTGGAGGGCTGCGATCCTCCATGGCACGCTGATGATCCCAATTGTGAGTGTCTAATTGACAAACCCCTTGTGGCTCAAAGCTCAGCAAAGCCTCGTTGTTGCCAATCCCACACTTGAAGTTGATGAGAGACTCAGATATTTGCTGCTCTTGTTCAGCTGAATTTGCGACTGCCATTGACACAGACACAGAATGAACTACTCAAAGCATACACAACCCTCCTACTTTCTAGACCCTATTTGTAGGGGTTGTAATTAATCCAATCCACCTCCAATTTTTGTCTTATTTGAATTTGAATTTTCCCTTAACTGCTTTTCCTAGGAACCATGCAATGCTCAAAATTTTTAAAACGCGTCTACCAACGAGAAGTTTCCACACTCTTATAAACAATTTTTTGTTCTTCTCCTCTCCAATCAATATAGAATCTCACAGCAAGTGAGGACAAAACATACCAAAAGAACAAGTAACATGGTCACGTCGCACGCTATCAAAAGTCAAATTCAAATCTAAATCCTGAGCACCTATGCGTTGAGAGGCATAATTTAATGGGTTGAACCAAAATGTTGCAGCAGCATGCACCACCGGCAGCTAAAGGGTCGGCGGATGCATCGGCAATCCCACGTCTTCCATATTCCAATGGTGAGTTTTTGAGAGCCAAACGAAACTCACTTTCCTGTCTCCTTTCACACTCAAACCCACACCACGTGCAATATCGATACTAGATTGATATCGACATTTAAGAGTTAGATACATGAAATCAACATGAACAACTTAGTTTGGCTAGTGTTTCTCGATCTTACATATCGTTTGACATATCCAACACTTTTTAATATAAATCAAATCTCGATATTTGTTAGACATGTATAAACATTTGTTAACTAAACTAAATAAACACTTATATAATAATAATAAAAATTTGAGCTCGTTGATTTTATTATATGATAGACGATATAAATATTATAATATCATAATTGAAAATTTGTAGAAGTTCGGTGAGATAATTATTTATTTTACTTATTTATTTATGGAAGATATATAAAATTAAAAAAAAAAAAACATGTGTAAAAATAATAAATAACATTAAATAATGTTGATGATTGAATTCTTTGTCGAATTTCATTACTACAATACTCCGTTCTCTCACATTCGTTATAGATATTTTGTTTAATAATTTAATTATTTATTTATTATTATTATTATTTTATTATTTTGGCGTTTATTTAAATATGGACGACTTTGGTACAAACTTAGCTGTATCCCATTGTTTTATAAATAAATAAAAACATAAATATAATCACATGGAACGTCTCATGGGGTCATGCCCTTCCAATTTTAATTTTAATTATTTTTCGTTGGACTACGATCGTAATTTAGGCTAATAATGTATTAGAGCGTATATAGTACTATGGTGTACACAATACTATAACATAACATTATAGCGTACGCGTCCGTACTAATTATAAAAGGGAAGTATTTCGATGCACGTGAACATACAAGATGCATGAGATTTTTATAGTTTAAAATCATGATATGTATTTATGATGCAAGTTATGATTTTAAAATTTAAAACATTTTGATTGATAATATAATGTTTGAAGTCGATTAAATATAATTTATGTAAATTACTTAATTATTATTGGTAGGATTTTAGGCATTTATTGAACTTTTTCTGTTACCCAAAATACCCTTGAATGTATAATAAATGAAATAATCCACATTTAATATAATATTTATTTTTCTTTAAATTAAACCCGTTTTTCATGCAAGGAAAATTCAGGTCCTAATTTTTTGTTATGAAATGACAAATAATAATAGATAAATAAAAGCGTCCGCTTCAATCGCTGTCCACACTAGGCAGATGGATGTATATCCTGTTTAGGGTTTATATGATTTTTTTAAAGTATTCTCGAAGTAGAGATAGGGTTGAGCTTGTGGCTCGTAAAATTAGAGCACGTGGCTAGAAATTATGATGTTAGAGGTCCGAATCCATCTTTGCCCACAACCCGTCAAAAAAAGAATTTTTTCTTGTGGAAATAGGAAAATCATGATCGGGATAGTGGACCCAGAGTGGGTCATGGTTAATTTGTATTTTGTTTATTCATGATAGCGGACCAATGCTAATGACACAGCTACGGGTTAAATTTCATGGGTTTTTTCCTTTTCCTTCTTGTTTTATTATGTATTTAAGTTAAAATAATAGTATTCATCGTTATCCTACCATTTTTCAATTTACTAGCCACTTTTTCTCTATTTGTACTATGTAATTACTTTTGATAAAGGTATGAAGTAATTGTATTTCTACGGGATGAATCATCGTGATATACTAAGAAAACACTTGGAATTGATTCTTCCGATCAATTAATGGGATTAAACTTCAAATCCATTGAATACCACATGTCACAATCGCACTCTTGCAACAGTGAGACATCTATTATGCAGCACTTATTTTGTGAGAAATTCGAACGTCACGAATAACGTCGGCGTATGTTCGAGCCTCGAGTCACGTTTGGGACACGTGTGTGAAAATAAATACGAAGGCACTATCTTTTTTGGTATACATGGAAATCAATGACAATCTTCTTTGATCCATCATTTTGGCTTTATGTTAATAGGGTTAAAAAATGTGATGTAGCTTTTAACTTCGGGACACGTGTGTGTGTGTAAATATATAGTTATGACAGGTTAGGATCATGATTCATTTTCTCTTAGATGTGGACAGAAAAGGGATCCTAGGCAAGACTCTTGCACCAAATTCACTTGTAACCCAAGCAAAGAACTTATTCCTAATCTCCTTATCCTTCTTTCTTCCTTTCCTTTCTTTTGCTTCGTGATCATCTACTACTTTGGCTTTATGCTTCTATGTGCATGCACGTGGAGCTACTACCCTACTAACTCGAGTATATCATTGTTACAGCTCAAGTCCACCGCTAGTAGATATTGTTCTCTTTGAGTTCTGGGCTTCCCCTTAAAGTTTTTAAAACGCATCTAGTAAGAGAGGTTTTCACACCCTTATAAAGAATGTTTTGTTCCATAATCCACCTCTTTAGAGGTCACTGTCCTCGTTGTCACACCGTCCAGTTCCCCTCTCCAATCTATGTAACATCTCACAATCCACCTCCTTAGGGGCCAATGTCTTCGTTGGCACACCGCCCAACATCTAGCTTCGATATCATTTGTAACATATTGTTTAGAGAGGGGAACGAAACATTACTTATAAAACATTGAAGTTAAAAGGACAATATGTACCAGCGGGACAAGAAATGAACACTTTGAAACTCCGCTATTTCTATACTGTTATACAACAGTGCCTTTAAAACATGCGAAGAGGAAAAAAGAACACTATGATTTCAACCCCACACAGATCCCATTCCAAGTTTTATTCGCATTTTACCAGTCTCCCGACACTCCCACGACCTGCCTGGACTGGCTTGCTTTCTCCTATGTCTTATTTTCATTTCCTGTTCTCTAATAGTAACAACTAAACAAGTTTATATCTTACAAACTCCATGGACAAAGCATGAGAACAAATTTTGTTACTTTGAAGAAACTTCAGAGGTGCATGAATTATTCATAGGCATATCAGTGGGCGTGCATACCAGAGCCCTTCGTTGTAAATGCCTTAAGCTCTGCTCCATGCTTACTTGCACCATCTCTGCCAGCATCTTCTTTGCTTTACTAGATTGATCGTCCTTTCCATCGATCTGATAAATAATATTACAAACAATGTTCTCGATCGTGTCGGGTTGAAGCTCAGATCTTGGATATGGAGAGTCCCTTAATAGCCTTAAGAGGGTTTTAGCCTTTGACTGAGATTTAGGTGTACCTTGGACAGTGAGTTCAAGAAGACCAGGGATTACCCCTTCTCCTAAGATAGGTTCTCTATATTTACACCGGTCGCTCTCGCACATTGTCAATAGTGCACCGACAGCGTGATCGCGACTTTGAAGAGAGCCATTCTCGAGAACTTCCACAACAGCAAGAACTCCACCTTCTTCAGATGTCAACGCTATTCTTCCTTCATCAAAACCAACTAAGGATTCAATCAGTGAGCAGCATTTTTCAGCAGTTTTTGAAGATTTTTTACATGTTTTCAGCAGACTGACTATTGAAGGGACGGGGTTTGAATCTAGAATGATGCTAAGATTAGATGGGAGTGTTGAAAGATTGGAAAGGGCCATTACAGCATCTGCCTTTGCTTGTGGGCTTCCACATCTAAGAATCTCCACAAGGAGAGGAATGGCACCAGCAGCACTTATTAACGGCTTATTGACAGTAGAAGCTGAAAGAGTGAGTAAAGAAGCAGTGGCATTCTCCTGTAGGATCAAACTCTCTGATTGCAGAAAACCAACAATTGGTCCCAAGGCACCAGCTTCAACAATCTTGATCTTATTCCTGTAGGCATTCCAAAAATTAACATATTAAGGAAGCAGCTTCTCAGTTTGACATGGAATCAATTACCAGAAACACCACAGGCAATCATATTCTTCCTTCACCCAAGATTTCTAAACAAAAGAAACTCCATTGCAAGTGTACACATCTTATTCAGCCAACAGTATCATTCGTACTGGAACAGTTCAAAATTTAATCAATACAGGAGTTCCAGAAACTAAAAGCAGACCAACATTTTCTAGGAAACATTTCATAACTGTGATGAGAACTTAAGGCCCCCAATATATCCCATGTGCTAGAAGGAACAAGAGAGGGCACATGACAATTCGATTATCATATACAAGGAAGAACAAGGAAAAAAACAGGGGTGAGCTCACATCTGCAAGATAAGATCAGCTATTTGGGTGTGCAAGCAAGCACATGAGTGGGAGGAGGTGTCAACATAGGAAATGATAGAAGACCATTGGGTTTACTTAGCAAGAGTAGTCTAATGGGGGAAGGGAGGATCCTCGGTAAATCCATATGTTCAATACTTTTCTACAATATAGTCGACTCAACTCAAGCATAGTTTAACCGATTAAGTCTATAAAGTATTTGACTGCTACCTCAAATGTTGGGTCGAACTAAAAAAAACAAAAAACAAAAAACTTAACAAAACCTTTCAAATTCTGATTCATCAAACCATTCATAAACAGAACATCAGCATTATCCCACATCAGAAAATAGCAAGGCAATTATAACAGCATATTTTTCCATGGGACCTTAAATCATCGTCAAGACAACATATGGGCTTTTATATTTAAGAAAAACAGACAAAATATACACAATTTTCATATCTTTTGCAGCCAAATTTGCGCAATCAAAGACACCAACACCGCATGCCATGCCAACCGCATTAAAAAAGGGAAAGGGGGGAAGCCTCCAACAACTAAAGCCACAAAATAACAACAATATAATTAGCAATAAAATAAACGAAGCTCAACAGGACAAATACAAATATACTGAGACTAGCAAATTCTTTATCAATTTAAAAACATAGCCAATATAGAAATCGTTCAGTTAAGGGAATCCAAGAAAAAAAATATCTCAATCTAATTGACCAACCAACACATGTTTCAGATTTTCTTCCTCCTCCTCCTCTTCCTCTACCGTTTACATTTTCTTTCACGTATTCTCACCAGCCAAACACGCAAGCGAAAATATAATTAACCACAAAAGAACGGGAAGGGAATAAAGAAGAAGAAGAAGAAGAAGAAGAAACCTCCTCATCGATATCGCTAATTAGATGAAAATTTCAGAAAGCGTAACAAATTCAATTAATCGATTAACATAAACGCAAGAACACAAGCTAATAAAAAAAATCAAGAAAGCGTGAAAAGCAATCAGGTCATATAGAAGGCAAAGAAAGAGATGTAAGAGGAATTTACTTTTCATCTTTAACAGCAAGGTTGAGAAGGGCAAGAAGAGCGGCCTCGAGGTGAGAGTCGGGGTAGTGGAGTGGGTGGAGCATGGAGACGAGGTGGGGGATTGATTCCGAGAGCTGGCGGCGGCATCGTTGGGAGGTTTTAGTGAGTCGGCGAATTTCGCAGGCGCCTTGCAGCTTGGAATCGAGAGCATCGGATTGAACAAGGAGGAGAGCCTTGAGGACGGCAGCCTCAGTAGATACGGTGGTCCGGTGGTGGCTCCCGGAGGGAGAGCTGTAATAATCCATTAGGAAGAAGGATTAAAAATTGCGTGAGGCAGTTGAGCGATGAGAGATTTAAAAGGCAGAGAAGAGGAGAGCGTGGCTTTAAGCAACAGTTAGAGAGAGAGAGAGAGAGAGAAAAAAAAAACGTTTATTTTAATTAATTAATTAATAGAGTATATAGGTTATGTTTTTGACGGTTGAATTTTCTGGGTCAGGGCAAAATGGTCAAATTCCAAGACGGGCAGAGGGCAGGGGTTATGGGCAGGGGCAGTTTTAAAAGTGTAATGAAAGTCGTTATCGGATTGGAAGTTGAAATGAAACGACTTGAGCTTGAGGTTTGGTTTAGGTTTGGTGATATTAAATTAAATATTAATGCTTAAATAATACTTTATTCATATATTTTTTATTTATTTATTCATATTTTAAAATTTTAAGGATCCAATAAATATAAAATTAAAAATTTATACAAGAAATCCCGAACACATACTCTAACCTTATTTTATTTATCCATTTATTTGTATAGACGGCTATATTATATTGTAGCATATAAAAGCACATCAGTTCTAATCGGTGAAGTCAAACAAGCAAAAAAGGTAATAGCCCGTTTAAACGAGTTATAACTCGACACCTCACCTATGCGTGACGTTGACTAAAAAAGGAGACACTTTAGGAAACTTTTAAAATAAAGGATAAAATTTTTTATTCAGACTATTGAACTTTTTATAGATACAAAAATATTAGAATACGATTGCATTCCCCATCTTTCTCCACTCAGCTATTCAAAATTCTTTCTATCTAAACTCCCACTCGAATAGAGATTTGTTAAGAACGAGTCGCTACCGACACTTTTCACTTATACTCCACACGTACATATTATAAATTGTCAAATCAAGTAAATAAAATAAGTATATTTTATTTTATGTTGACCGAATATATCTGTATTTTTTTTTATGAAGGTAAATGATTTATAATCTTAATTTAGTTTTCGAACAAGTCATATATTTGTAAGACCTATAAAGTTTTTTCGATATTAAGAATGGGCCCTGGATTTATTGAGCGTGTAAATCTAGTTGGAAGTGTAACGGTTGTTAATGATCTAAAAATGTGTAGACGTTAGGTCATGTTCAAGTATAGGTACGAGGTGAGTGGGTAATTCTTAAGAATCTAAAATTATATTTAATTCGGTCACTATTTAAATTTTAATTATGTATATTTATTACATATCATACCTATAGTACTCTGGAAGATGTTCGTTGAAAATAAATTTTTACTCAAATTATTTAAATATTAAGACTCGAACAAAAAAAAAATGTAGAAAGAAAATATATTTAAAAAATAGATCGAAAGAAAAAAAAAATAATAAAAAATTATGTAGGCTACTTTAATTTTAATTTTAAGTCGGGGTAGACCAACCTTTTAATTCAATTAACCTATATTGACCAAACCAACTCTAAGCTATTATTGCAATTAAAGCATATAACAAGCTCCAATTCTTTATTGGCTATAAATATATATATATATATATTTATTTATTTATTTATTTATATTTTTAAATTTGCATCCAATAAAGTAATAGCATTCAAGAGAGCTTTTAATTTAGTACCTAATTTATTTTTCCATTTCAACTATTTTTTATTTTAAAAAATTGGACGATAATCGATATTTTATCTACTCAATTATGTCAGATTCCGTCTATTTTTACCATAATTTTTATTAATTATTATTGATTAATTGATTAAAAACTTTCTCAATATTTTTGTATAAAAATTAATTATTAATTATAGGTTAATACAAAAAGGATAAGTAAGAATATTTCTTTATAAAAATCAACGTTTATTTATTTTTACAAAAAGAATAAATTTTAAACTTGATCTAGCTAGTGAATTAAAATAATAAAGAAATCTCCACAATAATATTCCAGTAAATAAAGATAAAAAATATGCTTTATAGAAAATAAATAATAAACAATAGATAATTCTGAGAAAAAAAATTATTATTAAAATGTGTGATTGATAAAAGCCCAAGAGTGTTGGTGGCCCATGAAATTTGGGCCTATTTGAGGCCCAAAGGAAAGATGCCGGTCGGTTATAAAAGCAAAATTACTCCAAATCAGAGCTCATTGTTACCCTCTGAAACCAGATGAAGCACGAAGCGATTCGATTTTCATACGACTGTTCCTGATCCTTCAGCTAGGTTAGATTCGGCTTCTCTTCCTCTGTTCCTTGTATTATCTGTGTTGAAAAACTTCTTGAGTTTCCTTGTGATCCGTGTTCGTCTCGTTTGATTTAAGGGTTATATGATCGTCGATGTAGAGTGTAGGTTGCTGTACTTAGTTGGGTCCCCCATTTCCCGTTCTGCATGAATTAGTTGTTTAATTCAAGATAAATTCGTCTGCCTGGAAATTGCTTTAAACATATTTTCATTGTGTTTCTGAATTGCTAACATCGTGTTGTCCTTGCTGCGTTCTTTTTTTTTTTTTTTTTTTTCCTCTTGATCGTTTGTGCTTTACTTCTTTGTTTTAAGGAATTGATTCCGCCGTTTGTAGATCAGACAAACCCGGAGCCAAAAAGTTTGTAAACCTTTTGAGGTGAAACACTTGTGTGGAACTCAAATGAAATGGAATGTGAAATGGATCTGCTAATTAGGAGTAATAAGTGATATTAGAGACATGCAGATGTTCCGATCCCTAGTTTTCGTTTCAATAGTTTTCATCTTTGCTCGTTTGAACAAGATTAAAGCTTGGGAGTTCTTGTTTTGGGTAGAATCCAATTTGTGATTTACTTCTTTGTTTTAAGAAATTGATTCCGCCATTTGTAGATTAGACAAACCAGGAGCCAAAATTTTTGTAGACCTTTTGAGGAGAAACACTTGTGTGGAACTCAAATGAAATTGAATGTGAAATGAATCTGCTAATTAGGAGTACTAAGTGATATTAGAGACATGCAGATATTCCAATCCCTAGTTTTCATCTTTGCTCGTGTGAACAAGATTAAAGTTTGGGAATTCTTGTTTTGGGTAGAATCCAATTTGTGCTTTACTTCTTTGTTTTAAGGAATTGATTCCGCCATTTGTAGATTAGACAACCCAGGAGCCAAAAAGTTTGTAAACCTTTTGAGGAGACTCACTTGTGTGGAACTCAAATGAAATTGAATGTGAAATGAATCTGCTAATTAGGAGTAATAAGTGATATTAGAGACATGCAGATATTCCAATCCCTAGTTTTCATCTTTGCTCGTGTGAACAAGATTAAAGTTTGGGAATTCTTATTTTGGGTAGAATCCAATTTGTTTATCAGGGATGATTGTAGTTATCCTCTATCAGTAGTATATGAAAGACATATACGGCTATTATGGTGAATTATCATTTATATGAGTCACTGATATACTCGACATTTCGCCAGGAATACAGTTTAACACATGGCCTCCTATTATTCAAAGTTACTAAAATTATTCCAATTCGTTAATACTTGTAATTGGGCTTTTAGGCAGTCGATGTTACCTTCTTTTGTTTTTGACAATGATTTAGTTTATTAGTTGTAATTGCTTTTACAGTTGCGCTTCACTGGACTTTAGTTCGCACGTCATGCCACATTGTCTTCAGGAAGTTTTTGTGACTTTGTGAATGTTGTAGTTTAGAGAAGCTAATATCAACAATTGTTTGTAGTTAATTTCATTCCAATTTCCTGGCTTAGACCTCCTATTTCTCCTTAGTACTCATACTTGTGACTTTATAATCAGTTCTACAAGGTATGGAAGATGTTGAAGAGCATAGCAGCCTTGAGCAGACAAAAAGATTTGTGCCATCATTTCATGAAGGGGTTTGGCTTCTTGTTGAGTTCTAGCCTCGCGTGTCTTTATAAATCCCTCAGATTGCATAATGGGGAAGCTCTTGTTTGCAGTACTAGGAAATTTGAGAATATTTTTTTGAAGCTAATTACCGTTAGCAAATTGGAAAATAAAAAAAAATACTAAGGAATTTCACCAGACCCTTCCCCTTGTTTCGAAATGCTCGACATTTCCTTCAGTGTGGAACAAGCAAAGTAACCAGTTTTACAAATAAACTGATGAGGTCTTTGGTAGGCCAAGAAGATTAATATATCTAACAAAGCAAATGTTAGGAAAGATCTTTAGGAAGCAATGTATATTAGTAAAGATGTTACTAAGTTAAGGGCTATAGTTGGGATCAGAGCAATATACTATAGGTTCTGTAGACTAGAATTTTGCAAGGCAATATCTATAATTTACAATACCCAACCACTCAAGACTCCTCTGCCGTCACATTATATATCAGTAGGGATTATTTTTGCTTATGAGATACTTTGCATTATGCTTTTATTATGTGATCATTTATCTTGTTTGTATGATTAAGGATGTTCTCTTGCCCTACGTATTTGTTACCAGTTCATGGCACCCTGCACAGACATCCCCGTAGATCGGGATCCACCAGCTACCGTGACATCTTTGCCTGTCAATGCTGGAGCATCTGGATTACCGACACCACATATACTGCTAACCACCATTCCTGCAGCTTCTGGATCGCAGATACCATCTGTAGCTCTGTCCCCTGATGCATTACAACAGATCATAGATTGTATGGTTCGGAATAGTGGGGCACGCTCTTCTGCACCATCCTCTCAGTCTTCTACAGTGGGCAACATCAATTATGTCCGGGAATTCATAAAATTTGATCCCCCTGCATTTGACGCTAGCTCAGGTGACATAGATGTTGCATATGACTGGATAAGAGATCTTGAATTTGTATTTGATTTATTGAAGTTTCCGGATGAGCAAAGGGTGAGATGTGCAGTTTTTAAGCTACAAGGGAATGCTCGCAACTGGTGGAGGTCTGTTGGGTCAGCGCAAGAAGATGATGGTGAGAGTCCTATCTCGTGGGAAGAGTTCAAGGATATGTTTTTGGATTGGCGTTGCCCAATGACTCTCAGGCATGAGAAAGAGATGGAGTTTTTGAACTTGAAACAAGGCAACATGTCTGTGGAGGATTACGACCAACAGTTTCTGAGGCTATCTCGTTTTGCTCCAGAGATGGTGGATACACAGTCAAAGATGGTGCATCGTTTTGTTATGGGCCTTCGGAAAGGGATCAGGGGATTAGTGGCTATCCAAAATCACACAGACTACGCTTCAGCTTTCGAGGTGGCTCGAACTTTGGACGAGTGCATGCCAGTCAAAACTCCGCCAGGACAGGACGAGGGATCCTCTGGACAAAAGAGGAAACATCAACGGATCGCATGAGAGGGCCGCCATGTAGCAGCAGCCAGGCTTAATGACATTACTACACATGGTGACCACAAGGTTCAATCTTTCCCAGCTTCCTTCTGTTTGATTTAGGACTTTAGTACAAAGTAGTGAACTTCTGTTTCCCCTTCTTGTTGGTAAATAGGATCGGTGGGTTTCGTTCATGTTCTGTCTTGCTTAGAAAACAAACATGCTCTGTTATTATACTCTTTTTTTAAGCATCCTTTGTTTGCGTTTGAAGACATCTCCTTCTGCCTTGTATGCCTGGGATTAAGTATCAGAAATCTGAATCTTCTACTTAGCTTCATATTTATTTTTTTAAAATTTGGTTAAATTACACGTTTAATCTCCGAAGTTTCATGTTTGTATGCATTATGTTATGGCCATATTACACACACACACACACACACATATCTCAAATAATGAAAAAAAATCAATATCAATATTTGTACTGCATGAATGGCATTGCCTTTTCAGGACTTTTCCTTGCATATTTTAATAGGTTGAAGTTGATTGTTTTTAATTTGTTTAATATCTAATTCTTAAGAGATAATTTAAAATGGCATTAACTTCCAAGTTAAGTGGTTGAATTTTGGTGGAGTTTGAATGATTAGAAGCCATAAGTTAATTTAAGCTTCTAAGTTAAGTCCAGATTTGTTGAATGTTGCTTGTAGGTGTAGGACTCATTTATTAATTATTATATATTTTTCTAATTTAATTCTTATTTGTAATGTGATCCTAAACGAAACAAAACAAAACATACAGTGAAAAACAAGAAACACATTTTCCTTGGTTCTCCATATGGTAAAAGAGTGAAGAGATGCATGAATTAGAAAAGCCAACCCAACCGTGAAGCATGGATTTTTATTTGGAGCTTAGCTTACAATTCCAACCACAAAAGCCATAGCCATTATCGTTAACTTTTTTAGACTACAACTAATAATCCACACACTAACTCCAAACTCAAAATGCTTATTTATATTTTCAATATTGAAAATATAAAATTGTCGAGAAAAGAAAAAGGAAACATTCAATCGGTTTGACCACCGAACGAACAATATATTCTTGTTTATAAATCTCAAGGAAACAGCCTTTTGTTCTTGGAAATTAGGCCAACTGATCCAAACAGAGAGAGAGAGAGAGAGAGAGAGAGAGAGAAACCATCTTTTTTTGTGTCAATTGTGAGAAACCCAGAAAGATTAGAGCTTGTTGGAAGATGGTTGCAGTTAGTTGTGTGTGTGCACCATTAGCAAAGCCATGTGTTGTTATGGCTTGCCCTGTACTCCGTGGTCGTGGTCGTCTCCAAGTTAGAGCCCAGTGTTTCAGAGAGGAACAAGGTGAGTCCTTCTGTGATGGTGGTGGTGCAGGAAGGTTGGGGAAGATGGTAGACGCCAACATGGGGGTCTTAAGAGAGAGAATGGAAGAGGTGAAGATGAGAGAGAGAGTAGAGAGGTGTTTGAGTTACAGACAACATGAATATGGATGGAACTACGCCCCCTCCTATGATTACAAACTCAAAAAGGACTTACAATTGGCTGAGTTTGTTCAGTTGTTGTTCCTAATTTCTGGGTCTCTGGGTTTTACATTTCTTTCTGGCACCTTCTCCCTTTGTTTACTTTCCTTTCTACTTCATTTTCACCCTTAATTCACTCTCTTCACTCTCTTCGTATAGTTCACATCCTATACGTCTTAAACAGTTGAGTTTGTTTACACGAACATATGTCTTAACCAACAGTTGAGTTTGTTCACACGAACATATGTCTTAACCATTTGAGTTTGTTCCCACGAATATATTTTTTTTGAAGCGTTAGTTAATTTGTTTAATTGGGTACACATTTGGTTTGAATATAGGTTTAATTAATCAATTCGTTTTTATTTTACCTATTAATTATTTTTATTATGGAACGTTTCAATGGTCAAGTTGTGCATTTAATAATTCTAATAATCCAACTCATAATAATAATAATAATAATAATAAATTTATGTGACCGTGAGAACAATTTCTGTTTTTTGACGTATATTATTAAAATATATATTATATGTTACGTCAATAATATTATAAATGTCGTGATTTTGTTAATTTCTTATTTTAACCTAAAAAAAAATCTCGAACCAAATTTTAAAGTTTGTCTATCGAGATAATTAATTTAGCACAATGTCATTATTTTTTAATTTTGCATAGAGATGTTTATATGGTAGGGTGAGTATAGAGAAAGATAGTGTGAGATTTCATATCGGGAGGAAAACGAATAAAATCTCTCCCTGGTGAACGAGCTTTAAAAATTTTGAGAAAAATTTCAAAATGAAAAGTCCAAAGATAACAATATCTCCTGGGGGTGAGCTTAGACTATTACAAATGGTATCAGAGCCAGACACCGAGCGATGTACCAGCGAAGAAGTTGAGCCCTGAATGAGGTAAATTGGGGATCCCACATCGATTAAATTAGGGAGAGAGTGACACCAAAAATGCTGAAATCTCACGTCAGTTGGAGAGAAGAACGACAAACACGTGGAGAGTATAATTATTTTAGGGATAAGCATAAGGTTGGGGTGTTTTGTAAGTTTGTAAGGAATGGCATTGGCAGCAACGCTGTGTGTTTAGAGAGTACAGCCCGGCGACGCGGCAAAGAATATGTTATTCATAATTATACAAATAACCGACACCGCCGCTACCTGCCTTCATTTAACACTCACGCATTACTTGGGTTGTCGCCGCCGCCGCCGCCGCCGCCGCTTTCCCTTCCCTTTCCTTCCAATTCTCTTCCTAATTCCAATCCCATTCATTAAATTTTTTCTATTTATTCGAAAAGAAATAAATATAATTTAATTAATTTAGCCATGTTCCACGCGGAATGTGCAATAATGTCAAACACAACCAACTGGGCTTCACTTTTGCTTTCAAAATCAACCCATTCCACATCTCCGAGTTTATGACTTTTCCAATTATCATATGATTTCCCCTTTCCCTTCCTATAAATCCATTACTTGCCTTCTAATTCTTCCTCAACTCCTCCAAGATTCAAATCTCTTGTTTGTTTTTACCCTTTTCGATTCATGGGGAATTACGTTTCTTGTACCCTTTCCACCCAAATCGGCGGCAAACCCTCCAATTCTTCCACCACGACGGTGGTTTTTCCCAGCGGCGAAGTTCGGCGGTTTCAGGAACCGGTCAAGGCGGCGGAGCTGATGTTTGAGATGCCCAATTTCTTCGTCGTCAATTCTCAATCGGTTCATGTGGGTCGGCGATTCTCGGCGCTGATGGCGGATGAGGATCTCGAGATGGGTAATTCATACGTTCTGTTTCCGATGAAGAAGGTGAATTCGGTGGTTTCGGTGGCGGATATGGGGGCCTTGTTTCTCGCCGCCGAGCGGGTATCCGGCGGGAAGAAGCGGCGGATTGTCGGCGGTGGGAAAGCAGAGGAATCGGAAGCGAAGTTGAAATTGGATAGTGAAGAAGGGGAGGAATTCTCGCCGGAGCCGGTCATGGGTCATCGAAGGTCGATGTGCAGGTCGAGGAAGCCATTGTTGGAGACCATAGTGGAAGAGCCGATGTGTTCGAGGTGATCGGGAAATTCAGAAATTAAAATGAATTTGATTTGTTCTTCGTTTGGCTTGGGGATTTTCCTTTTCGAAATTAATGAAAAGAAAATTCATTCGTTGATTGATTTGTATCATACAAAAATTAGTTCATATTAGTAAGCTTTATGAACAAGCTAATTAAATTTGTATTAATGTAAGCTAGCTTATAATCCTATCTCGTTTCATCACTTACTTTAACGAACATGAACAAAACATCTCAATCATACAATATCAATGTCTAGTTAAGAAGAATCAAGCTTCATTTAGTCTGCATTTGTGTTTTTTTTTTTTTAATCGATCTTCTCAATTGATTCCAATCTCAAATAACACTGGATTCCAATCTCAAACAGGTGTTATTGCATAGAGATTTTCGATCCGAATCATGGGCCCAATCCATTGACCATTTCTGTTTATGGGCTGTTTTTTATGGTGCAATTAGGCCCAATGAAGAATTAGTTCCTTTCATTTGGGCCATTCGGTGAATAGCAAGAAATAAGAATAATGATGCTTTTGTTAATAAATAGGAAAAGGAGTTTCACTCCATACTAGATGCGGGTTCGATTCCCGCTATAACGTTTCAAGTTCGAGATTTGGATTAGGATTAGGATTTACTATTCCAATTCTAAGAATTGCTATCTTATTTTCAAAATGGTTCTCTCAATTCATTCATGTATTGCTCGTATACTCGTGTATCACACCACTTTAAAGAGGTTTGTTTTCGTGTATATTGCTTAACCAATAAGGTTACACCTACAGAGTCGATTGGTGGGCAATTATTGAATGGAATCGAGCTCCAATTTTAAGTTTTTTAAGGGTTGTTCTTTTAAGGAGTGTGTCTCATTATAGAGAAAAGAAACAAAGCCATGCAACCTTTTTGGGATAAAGCATTAAAGTTGTATGCCCATTTTCTATACTTTTTGCTTGCTTTTCTCTTTTACTATTTTGACCTTAGGTACGTTCCTTAGTTAGGTCCGAGTTTTAAATCTAATCTCGTTACGTGTTCCCAATTTATTCACTCTAAGTTCATCCCGTTTAGACCATGAATCTCATCTAATTCAAAAAAAAAATCTAATCTTATTCGTATTATATAACTGAACGACAATATTTCTATAAACAGGTTGATATCTAAATTGATATCTATTGGGTTATTACTTTAGTTCCCGAGGGATATGCTGAATTATTCCCTTTCGTGTCCAAAGGCCAAAAGAAAAGAAAGAAAGCAACCAAGCAAGAATTCCATTAGTGCACTGCTTTAGCATGCATGGTTTTGAAAAGTTTAAAAAAGAAAAGGTGAATCATTCTCTTTAATATTATTTGTATGAAAAAGAAAATGGCTCGATAATCTTCGGTGACATGGTCACGTTACCTACTCCTTGCTTGTTAAGAGTGAAAACTATGATCGAGTAATCGAAAAAAGTGTGCACCTTGTTAGTATATGTAGTAACTTTCAATTCTTTTAAGCATTTCTTAACCATTCTACTCTCAGAATTTCTCTCATTCAGACACGGTCTTGGTTCATTCATATACTCTTTTATTTGATTTTGATTTACCCCTCTGAATTTGATGGGTTATGACATACATCTTCGCAAGCTCGCAAGATAAAAGGTATTTCCATACATGTTCAAAGGAGATATCAATCATTTTTTTTAGTATAATAAGTGGGGCGTGAGAATTAGAACATTATCAACTAGTGATACTCATTTTAGTATTTACATCGACATTTAATACGTCAAATTTAACCATGGAACGTAACAAACTTTTATCCCAAAGTTTACTTGTGTGTTGCTAGTAAATTTTACCCATTTAGGGTAAAAATAAAAATAAAAAGATAAATAGGAAAAGTAAGTAGAGTAATATTATTATTTTATGAGAGAAAAAAAAAAGAAAAAAAATGAAAAATTGTGTGCGACAGATTCCAGAACAGAGAAGAAGTAAATAATACACAAACTCTCTTGAAAAATAGCAAATAAAATTAAAATTAAAAACAAAAATAATAAAATAGAAAATTAAAAACAACTTCCATCCATTCCATACTTTACCGTTATTTACCTGCATCAACAACCAAACCAAATCATTAAAAAAAACAAAAATTAAATTTTTTTTAAAAAAATAAAAAATAAAAATAGGGAATTACCAGATCCTTGAAATATTTTTCTTATAAAAACAAGAAAAATAATGAGAAGAGCAACTCCAGCTAGAAGCCCAATTATAATCGCAAATGTCTTCTCACCGTCACCACTAAATTTATCTGCAAATTAATTCCCACATTTTATTCTTTAATTCAATATTATAAGAATTAAATAAAAAGGAAAAAAAAAAAAACATTACCAATGAAATTGCAGTAGTGGTAGTTGTGAAGAATGGCTTACCATGATGGGCCTTAGAGAACACGGGAGGCCCATGAGTACTGTATCTCGCATAACACTTCCCCAAGAACATGTCCCCAAAATCCGCCGTCCCGCAATCGCTCTTCAACCGTCCGATCGCCTCCCCGACACAATCCTGACACTCGCTCCCACTCAAATCCCCCACGCACTGCGCCACACCCTGCACTTTCCCGGACCCACCTACTCTATAAGCCCCACTGGACCCCACAATCGCTGCCAGCACAGCATCCCTTCGCGCCATTGCTTCCACCTCGTACCCGACAGACGGTCCGCATTTCTTGAGCACAACCGTCTTGTCCTCGACACCGAGGAAGGTGGAGTTGTCGTACTTGACGTAGCAGCCCTCGAGCTGGAGGGCGCCACCGCACGTGTCGGAACAGAGAGCGCCTAGTTGGGTTACGGCGCGGGCGATGCAAGTGGCGCAGTCGGGCATGGAGAGGTCCGCGCGGCACTGGTAGAGACCGTAGAGGGCGTCCTGTGGGGTGGAGGCTTGGAAGGTGTAGTTGTTGTAGGAGGTGTAGGTGGCGGAGTTGACGAGGGAGGTGAGTAAGGAGTTGAGGTTTGACTCGTAGCCGGAGTTTGGGGAGTATCGGAGTTGGGTGCAGCCGCCGTAGACGAAGGTGTCTGTGGCGGAGAGAGAGAGGAGAGGGAGGAGAGAGAAAGAGAGGAAGAGGAGGAGGAGGAGGAGATGGGCCATAGGTTCAGTAGGTTGAGGACATGGATGGAGGCTCCATATTTGTGTCACTTATAATCTTAAAAATTTATATAATTAAAAAGGAAATTAAAATATTAATAATTTTGTAAATTCTTTGAATATACAGCTTTAAAGTGATTCCATTACTTTACTTTAAAAAGGAAAATGTTAAAGTATTGTAATTCAAAAAAGCATATGTTAACCCAAAGTAACTCTCAAAAGAATGAAAAATAAATTAGTCTCATTTTCGTAAATATATATAAACATAAAGATCGTTAGAATGACTCTAATACCATGTTAGACGAACACGACTCTCCATAATTGTATAATATTGTTCACTTTGAGCATAAGTTCTCATGGCTTTACTTTGGGCTTCCCCAAAATGCCTCATATTAATGGAGTTAGTATTCTTCACTTATAAACCCATAATCATTCCCTAAATTAGTCGATGTGGGACTTTCATCACTTATAAACCCAAAGTGCGCCTCCCCTTAATCAAGGCTCAACTCCTTTGGAGTCTTAGTCATTTTTTACTGCCTTCGTACCTTCGAGGAGGCGCACTTTGTTTGAGGGGAAGTGTCGGATGATGAAAGTCTCACATCGGCTAATTTAGGGAATGATCATGAGTTTATAAATGAGGAATACTAACTCTATTGGTTGGTATGAAGCTTTTTGGGGAAGCCCAAAGCAAAACTACGAGAGCTTGTGCTCAAAGTGGACAATATCATACCATTGTGGAAAGTCGTGTTCGTCTAACAAATTTTGAGTTCGTCCTGGACGTTATATGACTTAGTAGTTACTAGTTACTAGCAGTAGGAAACGTTTTCAGAAATGAAATTATTAAATTTCTATAAAATAAAATAAAATAAATAAAAGAATGAGGAAGGAATCATGGGCAGATTGGGAAGCTTTATGGAAAGGGAAGAGGCAGCACAGCTTTGTATTTTGAAATTTGGAGGTATAATATTTGTCATTACAAAGTGGAAGATTAAAAGGTGTCTTTTTTTTTGTGTGTGTATAATTTAATTCATATTATTTAATAGAATATTTTTTTTTTTTTAATTTAAAATTCGACAAATATTCTTAATTTTTAATTTTTTTTTAAATTATAGTTTTAAATCTGTAAAATAATAATGGTAAAAACAGGACAAAAATGAAAATACCAATTTGGGCCTGGGTCAAGGAAACACATGGGCTATGGAAGCCCAATTTTTATGGTTATTTTTACTTATTATTTAATTTTATAAATATTGGGTAATTTTCAAAATTTAGTTATAGACTTTAATTAAATATTTAAAAATAAGTAAATAATGTTTTGTGTTACTTTTATTTTAAAAATAATAATTTAAATAAATGATCCGAATCCATTGACCCAAAAAATTTATGGTTGAATAAATTCATAGTCTGAACAATTGGATTAGATCTAGAAAATGTCTCAACTCAAACTACGAACACTCATTTGTAGAAGTGAAGATAGAAACTCGACCTCAAGAAAAAAAAAGGTTTCTTATTAAGTGATTTTTTGTTTTCTACGCTAAAAAAATCAATTAAAATTCTATAATGATGATTCAAACAAAAATTATTTTATCAATAAGTTAAAAATACATTATATTGTAATTTAATAAATTAGAAATACAGCTAAGCGTGACTTTTTGGTATTGCTATCGTAGAAAATGAGGACATTAAAAATGGCTACACAAAAATTCAAAGATATATGACTGTGTCCAACCTCTACCTATAAATTAGTATGGTCGAACTAAGGGTGGCATTAGTGCGGTACCAACCTAAGAAATTTTGATAGCTCGGTTACGTGCTGGTGCCAGTGAAAAAGAATGATATGGGATAAATTTATTGGTAAGTTGACCACGACGCCGCTCTTTTTTTTTTTTAAGATTAAAAAAAAAAAGAAAGAAAATAGGCACATGGTTTGCCTATGAACCATTGATAATTGGTGTGATGATTAATGAGGCTTGAATTTCCATGTTAGTAGGCCATTCCACATTTCCACTCCTTCCCATTCTTTGCAAAAGTCTCAATTTTGCTTTCATGCCCTTCAATTTTCCATATTTTCTACTTTCTCCCCATCTCAATCATTCCTTTTGCTTTTCACCCCTTTTCTTTCCCTTTATTTGTTCGTCGCGCACTAAACCCTAACGATCGTGCCTAAATAATTATAGTTCGACGTAGTTTGTGCGTTGTAGAATATTTAGAGGTTTAGTTATAAACGGACGAGCGAAAATGAGATGATATGAATATGGATTAAAGTTTTCCAATTCGACAATGACAAGAATAACTATTACACTTCGGAGACTTCGGAGACACTGATTGAGATTTGTTTTTTTTTTTCAAAAAAAAAAAAACAGAAACTCAAAAAAAAAACAAAGAAAAAAGAAACAACGTTTGTGTTTGTGATGATGATCAAATCTGTGTTCTTCATCTTTGTGGAGGAAAATAAAAGTTTCTGTTTTCTCAATCAGACTTCCATTGGTGTGTGTTCTTGAGCTGCTGCATGATTCTACCAAATATCCAGAAAATGCAGACTTTTAATCCCTTTCTTCCTTCTTCTTCGACGTCTTATTTACACGAAAACCATGAACGCAAGCGACGAGAGGCGACCTCCGTCCTAGCTAGCTAGCTCGCTCAACAAGCTGAGCACGGGATTACTTCCTCAATCTGTTGCTTCTTTTGCAATGAAAGCCGTCCTACCAAAACATCCAATGCTTCCTTCATCCACCAATGTTGACAAACCTCCCGAGCTTCCCGAGCGCTCATCTACAAGAGAATCGAGTACCCAGAACGTTTAGATTATGGTAAAAAATGCAACAAGGAATGAGTTTTTAACAGGGGAGTGAGTGGCTATACTATACCCAAACTCGTTGTCGAAAATTCTTTTCGGGCCAATACTCGAGCTGCTCCTTGACAAGCAAAGGAAACATGTATCCTTCATAGAAGGTGTCATAGGTTTTGCTCTTGAAACTCCAACTCCCTAATTCACTCTGCACACACAACCCGATTTCGAGTTCAGGATTCGCATCGAAAACATGAAGCAGATTGGATCATACAAACACTAAAGTTGACTTTTTCTTTTCAGATTGGATCATCATTACAACAATTATTGTTAAGAACTCCTCCTAGATCTACAAATCTAATTATCGCTCCCAGAACGTTCCTACCACGTTCGATTTCATGTTCTAAACCAAAACTGTTCTTGTAAACTCACTCTAAAACATTATTGATACCAAAAAAGACATCTGGGATGAATTATAGAAAGAGATGAACCTGAACAATTCCCTTAACACCAGCTTCCTCAAGGGTTTCTCTTGAAGCAGCCTCAGTAATAGATTCATCAGTTTCCCAACCTCCCTGTAAATTTTTACATTAACGAGTTCATTACACAAAAGTTTGAAGAAATCAGCCAATTTGTAATGAACCATGGATCTGTAAATGCGTTCAATCTTTACCTTGGGGAACAGCATGCCTTTCCCTTTCTGTGAGCTAATCACAAGCACTTCCAATTCCTCTGTATTATCCAAAGCACTCTTCTTAGTAGTGTTGTACCTATAGGGGATGCATCTGCAGAATTTGTTTAATTTAGTCAAGAACAGTCGAGAACAGTCAAGAACAAGAGGAGATTAAATCAAAATTTGTTTAGTTTTTCCAGCCCACAAGACCAATTTAAGTAAATATCCATGATACCCACATGTAGTAGGTTAAGAAGCATCAATTTCTTAAGGGACCCATCAACACAAAGTAATTCAAGATGGCATCCAATCGTTCAAGTCTTATCCAACAAAATTGGAAACACGAAAATAGGTTTTGTTCTTCATTGAACTAGCAATTTCTGGGATGATTTCAAAAGGGTTTTATGGGAACGAACCAAAATTGAAAGAAATGAACAAAGAACAGGATGGATAAATTACCCAACAACTTGGCGGCGACCCCTAATATCATAACGCTGCAAATGCCTTCCAGTACGAGAAACCAAAGCGACCATGTTGTCTGGAGAGACCAAAGCGACCATGTTTGTGATTTTTGTGTGTGTGTTTTGGGGTTTTGCAAAATTGAAGTAAGAAATAAAAGGAAGAACAGGCAACGATGTGTGGGGGAAAGGAACAAAAATAAACTTTCCAAAAGAAAAGAAAAGAAAATTCGTGTAATTAAAAATGGAGTGCGGATTCAGATTTAGTGGACATCCTTGAACTAAAACCACACCCCATATGACCCTTTTATAATGCCCAGACCCAACACGAAGGGGACACCATCCCAATGCATCCTTGTCCTACGTGTCGCTGACTCACCACTTTTTTTTTTTTTTTATTCCACTTGAGGTTCCTTTTCTCTCTCCTTTTTTTCATGGAAAAAAATAATTTTTACTCGTAATCCAACCAAACCATACTAATAATTGAAAATCTCTTCCCAGTAGTAGATGGGTTTTTAAAAGCTTAGAATAATCCCAAAATAGAAAGCACGACAATATGTCTGCTAACGGTAAAGCTGTTACAAATGGTACCTGGTAAAGCTGTTACCAATGGTACCAGAGCTAGACATTGGGTGATGGGGGCTCCCAATGGTGGTGGTAGATTGTGAGATCCCACGTTGGTTGAAGAAGGGAAGCGTAACATTTCTTGTAAGGATGTGGAAATATCTCTCTAGGAGACAACAAAGTATTCCTTGTAAGGATGTGAAAAACTCTAATAGACGCGCTTTAAAAATCTTAGAGGAAAATCCAACCAGCTTTGAGTTTGGACAGTTACAAAGGGAGAGTTTCAAAATACCTTGAGAGACTATTTATGGATCGTTAAAAAAACATATGTTTGATCAACTTTCCTACGAGTATAATTATCATTTGTAATGTTTGGTATATACGATAGACACGTGATTTCAAAACAAGGAGAGTGTATAACGAACACGGTAAATAAACCTAATAAAATGCTTAATTTTGTTATTACAAAATTTAATTTAATGTTAATATTGTTTTGAGGAATATTTATCATGCTCAATATTTATAGAATATAATATTTATTTAATAAACGGACTTCTCTAAAAAAAATAGTAATAATAATAATAATAATTAAATAAACGGAGTTGGGACAAAGTGTTTAAATGGCGTTACGGAAACAGAGTTGCATGTTTTGATCCGGTTGGGTTGGCTATAAATTAGACGGCACCGTCACCCCTGACGTTATATCCCATTTTCCTTAATTTTATATCTTATATTTCAATTATTATTATTACAGAATTATTTGCACTATTTTAAAAAATAATTAATCTCTAATATTCATTGGGTTTTCTTATTTAATTGCTTTCTGGATGGAATATTCCTGTTCCTGGAACCACCTAACTGAAAGGGTTTGGGTATTTTATATTTTAAAAATACATTAAATTTTTTTAAGTCAAGAGTATTTATATACTATAATCCAATAATTTTTATTAAGAAAATTTAATTTCCTAATCATTATTAATAATTTCAATACAATTTTCCAACTCTTCTGGTTAAAATAAAGAATTAGAAAAATTATAATCAACAAATGTGAACGGAATTATATACCAAAGTTTGAATGCATTTATGTTTCAAATTTTCATTTATTAAAATTGCCTTTTATATCATGAGAATTACTCTATCCATCACCCGTCTCCATTTTAGCCTGATTCAAAATTACCATCACTGCATTGAACAACATCGTAACTAGACATGATTTTAAACCTTGTACGAGAATCTTTTCTAACCATGGTTACAACATTAATCAAAAGACATGTTTTGTTCTATGTTTATGTTTGAGTATCACTCGCTTATATTAATTTTTTTAATTTATATATAAAATACACTATTTAAAATAAAAAATTGAGCTCTTATTCGTAGGAGCGTGGGGGAGAGCATCATCCACCGCCACAATTTGTTGATTATAAAAATTATATTTATATATTTATTGGTGTGAAAATGACTAATTTCCATTTTTCTCCCTCCAATTATTTATATTAATATATTAAGTAATATCATTTTTCGTTATCTTAATGTTATTGTCTCTCATTATTGACCACTGCCTTTCAATGCTTAGAAATAAATGAAATATTAATTTTGAAAAAGAAAATAAATATTTTTAAAACTATTTTTTGAATTTGAAATATATATATATATATATGAAAAAAGAAAAATCCATTTAATTAATAAAAAAATAAATAAAGGAAAAGAAAAAAGAAGACGTGACGGATGCTTGCAATAATTTATTGCGGCCACACATGCAGTAATTTAAATTTAAATAATTATATATTTATAGAAATTTGAGGAGGTTGATTTTATTTTATTTTATTTTATTTATTTAATAGCCGCAATTTTCTTTTATTATTTTCATTAAAATAAAAAAAGAAAAATCCAGATTCCGTGGATACAATACAATAAGATGCCTGCATCTGCGCGCCTCTTTCTTGGACTCAATAAAACAAACAAACCAACACAAGAATTTATTACATCTCTTGCAACTACGTCCTTCTATTTTATCATTATTACAAACTAACCCCTATAATATTTTTAATTTCATCATTAACCAAGCTAATTAATAAATTTGAAAAATAAAATAAACAAAAACTAAGGGAAAGGTTGCATATAAATATGAACACAGAAACATGATTGGTCGGGAATATGTTGAGATGGGTTAATGTTTTTTTAAGAACATATGAATTTTGGGTGTCGGAATTTTAATTTGTTGTACAAAATTTGCAAAGATTTGGAAAAAACATGGCATAAAGTCAACAAGTTCATGAATGCATGAATCCTCCTTGCATGTGGAGAGGCTTTTATTTTATATTATCGTTGACGGACTTCGAGACTTTTACCCAGTTTTTATAACAGTAAACCAACTCCTCCACTCCTTTTATAATCATGTTTTGTCGTTTCTTTTATTTTAAATTATCTGTGCTCTGGTTTTGTTTTTGCTAACTTCTAGGTTTTTGGATAAAATTTACACTACTACTTACCTTAGATGAGGATGTGAAACCGTGTACGGTTTTGAGATGCACGTGAGTGAAGACAAAGTATGCTGAAATGACTTGTGTTGATCAATAAGTAACGGGACCATGTTGCTGGAGATGCAGGAAAATGTAAGGGGCATTAAGTGCTAAATTCGAATCTAAATCTTGGGCATCATTTGAGAGAGCGTTTCGACATTATTTTCTTGGTCATACCCGATCTTTGAACTCCATCCTTTGAGACAATCATAGTTGAAGACTCACCCATATGTCCATAATTGTGCGCATACTCTATTCAATAGCATGTGAGTGTGTCCATGCTATGTTCATAAATTAATTAATAAAAGTTGAAATTGATAGAAGAATGAATATGTTATCAAACATTTTGGATGATTGTTTATGGCAGATCTATAAATAATTTTCACACCTCTTTATTGGTTTGTAAGAAGTCTTGGCCAAACCAAGAAAGTGAAAAACCTGTTCTAGAATGTGCTTCGCTTTCACTTTGAAGCGATAAGGTTTGGCCCCATCTTCAAAGTGACCATTTAGAAACCAAAGAAATTCACCACCACAATCTTCAACCAACTTGATGTGAGGCCAATAATGCTGATTTTGGCAACACAACCCTTGATTTTCCTATTCATATTTGAGCCAAATACTTTCATTATAGAGGGCCCGTATCTATAACTAGTGGGATTGGAATGGCTTGATATAACTCTTAATCTGTTTCACTTGGATATTAGTTTTAATGACTCAAGGCACAAGTTCTACCATTGAGGATCACTTCAACTGCCAAAATCATAATTCCAACATACATAGTTGAAGCACATCTATGTACAATATATAACTGATGCTTACGTACAATCCTCTGTCACATCTGAATCTGAATTATCATCTTCATCTTCATCATCATCTTCATCATCATCTTCATCTTCTTCTTCTTCATTAACGGCATCGTTGATCTTAAGTGCACTTTTTGTAATTCTTGTCAGTGCCACAGTTTTGCTTGCCCTCTGTGAGCGTGTACTGATTGTCCCAACAAGATTGGGAACAGAGGTGGGTGACATAGCTTCATCAGAAGATGAAGATTCTTGTCTCACTCGTCTCCGGGAACGCGTCGGTCTGGTAGAACATGGGACTGGTGTTTGTGGGACTTCAGCTTCGAAGTTGAACTCCAGTTTTAGTTGATCTGTAAGTAGGTGTTTATTGGCACAAAATAACAGGAAAATAGGACACGTCAAAAGGTATACCAGAGATATGCTTAGGAATTAGAATGAATGAAATCGGAAAAACCTTTGCATGGACTGTTTCTAAAGAGAAACATCTCATGACAACCATCTTATGTAGGCCCTCGTATATGAAGTTTTTGAGAAAATAAATGTGATGCAGAAATACGAATCAGAAGTGTTAAGAACTCGTTACTCAGGAAATATAACTTCAGTTTTTGTTCAGTGAAACTTTTTAACTGATTTTAAACCATGAAGCAGCATAGGGATAAGTGACAAGATTTACCCAAAATTAGATATGTTTGATCTTGCGACATTTCAAGATCTGGTTGTTTGTCAATTGCTGTGAGATGCTCCCCCATCCGCTTTAAATCCTTGATAAGATCCTTATCTGCTGATGCAGCTTCAACCACATAACATAGTAGTCTTCTCATTAGCCTTACGGCAGCTTGTTCTGACGGGCGAAAATGTAGCAACACAAGTACCCGACATAAAGCAGAAACATATGACTTCTGTGCTGGCGTCTTCTTTCCACGCAAGCTTGCAACCTCGAAAAAGTATAAATCAATGGATAACAAGTCAGAAAACCACAACTTTCAACTGGATTCACCAGAAAATTTTGAGGAAAGACTTTTTATAACTTTAGACAAGAATAGGTGAAAAGAATGAAAAGCAAAGATGGTAACAAATAGACAGAATAATCAAGTTTGTGCAATTCAAAATTACTCAAATTGGCTAGCTTTAACTAATAGGTGAGAGCTGAGTTACAGCTCAAATTCTACACTCCCCTCAAACCGTGATAATAACCGTGGCATAGAAAATGACCTTTAGACTATCTACTTCAAAAAGAGAAATGTTACATTACAAAAGTTTTTATTTCCTAGTTACAGTTTATTTTACATTATTATAATTTTTATCAAATTTTCTGAATTTAAATATCGACTTGCACCCAAAAGGCTTGTGCCTCCCTCTACAAGAATGAAACATGACTTGGAACAT